CTTTCAAGTTCTGTAAAGAATGGAGCCCAGGGTCTAAATCACATCTGGTGACAAATCCAAAATAGCATGATCTGAGCCTGGAAAGCTGAAGATAGATTTTGTGGATGGGGGAAGAGGAGAAAGAACATAAGAATCCAGCAGATCTGGCATACAAGAAAGTCACCATCTGTGCCTATGGTAAAGAAATTAAAGTTATTGTTTCATCAAGATCAATGATTCAGGCCAATTAATTTTTCACAGTCCTCAAATTTATAAAATACCTGCTCAGGTTCTCTATTAGCATTTCTGAAATTTTTAATTTTTTATTGTTAATATGATTTATTTAAAGCACACAAAAGTCTACATGGCTTTTGGACGAAAAATCATCATGTCCTTATATTTATCACTCTATTCAGCCAAGCACTAGTCCACACTGCACAAATGCTAGTTTGCCCCTTAGGTCCCTTCCGAAACAAGCCAACTAGTTGCCTTTCAGATTTTTTTTTTTTTTTCCTAATGACAGGAAGGCTGACATGGGAAATATGCTGAATTTTAGAACAAGCCCTGCACAAGAAAGCTACAGCATAAAAACACCGCACTGCCTAACAGCTGTAAATTGTTCAATATTTTACAAATTCCTCTAGGCACAAGGGCCTCTGAGGTGATATAGTAAAAAACATTCCTCAAAAAAAAAAAAAAGAATGCTTTGAATCATTAATTTAGAAAAAAAAAAGCCAAACCCCCCCAAAAAAGTCTTTCATAAACAGCTAGTTAGAAGAGAGACAGAAAAATAGAGAGGGAGAGACAAAACAGTTAGAGATTAAAGCATGTTTGCCCTGGGAAAAATACCTTTTTAGTCTCAGAATACATTTTATTCTCTCGTAGGAAGGATCAGAATTTTTTGTGTTGTCTCAGATAGTTGTTACTGATACCAGCTACTCCCAATACAATCAGGTCTCTATACAAAGGGCAATGATTTTAAACTAAAAGAGAGCAGATTTAGACCAGGTAGAGGGAAGACGTTTTTATGATGAGGGTGGTGAAACCCTGGAATAGGTTGCCCAGAGAAGTACTTGATGCCTCATCCCTGAAAACATTAAAGGCCAGGTCGGACAGGGCTCTGAGAAACCTGATCTAGTTGAAGATGCCCCTGCTCATTGCAGGGCGGTTGGACTACATGGCCTTTAAAACATCCCTTTCAACTCAAACTATTCTATGATTCTATACATAAAAGCAGGAATTACAAGTGAGGTTATGCTTCAGTTTATAGCCACAGCAGTGATACGTACGTGTGTGTGCTGGAGCGTATGAAGCCCTGACAGCTTTGCTAGAAGTGCTTTGCTGTAAGGTGCTGAAACAGAGAGACCGAATAAAATGGCAATAAGGAACACAGTCAAAAGCAGTAGCTTTGCAAAGCTACTATGCTTTGCAAAGGTATTACATTTTCCAGCAGCAGCCTCTTAGCTTTAATGGTGGAAGAAATGCCTGACAACATCCCTGCTGCCTTGAAAATAATTTTTCTGACTTTTCTGGGTAACTCCATTTCCTTTCACAAAGAAAGTACAAATTTTACTCTTTTAGATGTTCCGTTTATTGGTCTCTGCAGCAGGGAGGAGAGTTCAACAACAACATGCTCTCCAAGCAATGGCTGCCTCAATCTAGTGGTCACTAAGTGAACTTCCCAAAAGGCTGTTTTTACATTAGTGCTTCAGAGTTGGTCTTCTTTCTGCCTCATGCACCACCATTAATAATTATACCAAAATGTCTTAGTGTTCCTAAAAATGATGTATCTAATTTTATCCTATATAACTGAAGTAGCACAGTGTTCTTCAAGCAGTAAACTGAAGAAGGCATGACTGCACTGTCCTGTTTTGGATTGCTCACTTTACCTCTATTTGTTAACAAATTATGTCAATATTCAAGCAGGGTAAATGGAATAACCTCAGATGTTCACCTGGTCCTGGAATTCTTCTCTAAATGAGAAGACTATAACATGTTCAATTGGTAGACAGATAAAAAATGTTACAAGCTGATGCCAATTGAGACAGATTTTTATCAAACACGACCTGAAGTACTTTTTTTTTCATTTTTATGAGATTGCTGGTTGATAAATTTTCTGTTGACAACAGACTTTCAAAAGACTCTATTCTTGCCAGCCTTCTCAGGAAAACATTAACTTTATATAAAACCAGTATAGCTCACATTAAATGAATTAAAATCTGGCTAACTAAAAGACCACAAAAAGTATTTGCAAATGTGGAATTTTCACCAAGTAACTTGTTTCTAAAGGGTGGGGATGGATGGAGCTGCAACAATTTGCCTCGGTCTAATATTATTTGATATCTTTCAGAATAATTGAGTAGAATATATATTAAAAAACCAGAAAATTTTCATCTGAGCTGCATGCTGCCAGACTAGCAAATGATGAAGATAGATTCCTACACAGCTTGACTTGGACTGGTTTGTAAGATATATGCCTTTGCAAAGGTGAATTAACATTTACATGTACTGATATAGCTATGCAGTCCAAGTCTCAACACAACCCTCCCCAATCTCTCCATCTAAATGTAGGTCAGTATATTGGAATACAATGGCACTGGCAAAAATGCTGCTATGTTCTAGCTATTCAGCTGTGTAAGACAATGCTCTAGTTCAGGCAGCGATTGCTTAGACCTATAATTAAAAGAAAACTGAATTATAAGGAGGTAAATGTTGTTAGGTCCGTTTATGGCATCATAAACAGATTTAGTTTTCCAGTTTAATTCAGTATCAGGTTCAGCTCTGATGTCATACTTCAAAACGGATGATAAAATTTTAGAGACCTTCAAAATGATTCAATGTTTGGACAAACTGGTTGTTTTTTTAGAGTGAGAGGGAGCATTTATATCACTTATGGGGAAGACAGGAGAATTCTTTAAAATGGCACACACACATTTAGATGGTGAGGTTTCTGACAGGCTTTTCAATTTGGTGGAAAAGGGTCACAAGATGCAAGCTAAATAAAAAAGTTCAGGCTAGAAATATGTCTAGGAATGTCCCTGGGTGCAAATTTTTAATTATGTGCCTTAAGCACTGGGACTATCTACCTATAAATATGGTGAGCTCCACATCACTGGAAGACTTTAAATCAAGACTATTTGTATATGGTAGATGTTACTTTCAATTTTTTTATTAGCTGTCTGGAAAAGTTACAGAGTTACAGACGTTTGGTCCATGTCATGAAAGGGGCAAAAAGAATGATCATAATAATGTGATATTGCCTTGAAGTTAAGAATAGGCCAATTTTAAAAATGCTGCTTTGATGAAGTAAGATATTTGGGGAGTATCAAGGCATTATTTGACTCATCATTGAGTATTGCTTCAATCTGAAATAAGTAATATTTACCAGCAAGCATTTACTTTGCTTCCCCCCTGCCTTTGAAATCTAAAGCAGTACTGTATAAATATTTGAATAAGAACCAGTACTTTGAACTACCCTTTTAATTAAACTGAAGTCTTTATCTAGCTCCAGGTACCATTTCAAACAGCAGCAGAATTTCTCTCAACCTCCATCTCAATTGATCATAAACAAAAACTCTTCTGTCTAAATTTCCTTTAAATCACACCATGATGTATTTTTAAAACAAACCAAATACTTTTAGTCAGGCACAAGCTTAAGCAATAAATATTGGTAAAAAGCAAGTATATAATGCATAATTATGTTTTGCTATCAAGATTCACACTGAATGCTTAGAAGTACATAGAGGAAATTAATGTTTAAAAGTACTGTAAACTCTAGCGCATAGTGCAGCCCGACAGCCAGTTGCAACAGTGCAACTGAGAAGGAGATGTGGGGCTGGGAAAGAGTGGGTGGAATCTCACTCCCTGGAGATGTTTCTATTGCCACTGCTAGTGAGAAAAATGTCACTGGAACCACAGTCTTCCTGATTTAGAACAGTAAGTCACATTTTCACAAACATGATATAGGTTGATAGATGCTTAAGTAACATCTAATTTTGATAAGAGTTATGTCCCTGGGTGCATAAAGCCTCATATTTATTGCATCAGGAGATGCAGAGAGGATCTACTGGAATTCTTGAAAGCACCCAAGTGCTCAAATCCTATTCAAACCAATTGGCTTAAGTACCCAGAAAATTTTAAGAAGTCCCATTAGGCATTAAGCACTTGGAAATCTATCCCTAAAACGCTTTTGAAATAGAAGTTAAGATGTAATGAAAATGGAACACAAACCCCTGGGTGCTCTTGAAAACACTTATATAGTTTTGCGTCTGTACTTTAGCTTAAGCAACCTGAATTCTAAAACACTAATGAAAAACATGGTATACGTAATTGGTTAATTAAAGTAATTTCATTAATGAGTGTTGTAGTGTTGTATCTACTACAATAATTTTATCTCAAATGTTTATAAATATCTTGTTTGCAGTGTCTTTGAACATGACGGGCAATACATGACTTATAAAATTGTTCAGAGCATGAACATTATACATCAAGAGTTTTTGCATATTCTGCAGGAATATGTAGGCTTTTAGCTTCTTACTGGCAAATTTAGTCGGCTTATTGGTTGATGGAAACGCTTATAAAAGTTTTCTTTTTTTTTTTATTTATTTGTAGAGTCTGATGGCAGTAAAAACTACAGAGACAAGACTCCATCAGGTGTCCTGTGAGCTTGCATGAAGATGCTGGACTTATTTAAAGCCTGACTAAGGGCTAGACATCAAAAGGAAGGCCTTTAAGCAAAGACAGGAACACAGAATCATAGAATATTGCAAGTTGGAAGGGACCCATAAGGAATTTCTGCAGAAGAAAACATTCCTTCAGCTGCAGCATTCGGCTAAAATTTCTATTTGTTATAAATCCAGAGTGTGAGGCTGAGGCTTACTTGTTTTTTATCTTACAGCAGTGGTCATTTTCTGATAAGCAAATGGTATGGATTCAGCCATTCAAACTCCCAATGTCTCACTCTTTTAGAATTAGGTGCTACTTCTACTGTATTTGATTTTTTTTCCTTCAGTGAAACTTACTTTCATCTCCAGTTTCAAATTCAAACTTCTGGCTATAGCCGCTGTATCCTGCTGCCGTCCTGACTCTGATATGAAATATATACTTGGTTGCTGGCTTGAGACCTGTGATGATAACACTTGGAGCCTTGGACCTTGTGGAGGAATAGCTGAGCTGCTCATGCTCCTGAGGGACAAAAGAGGGGAGAAATGGTATCAAGTTGAGTTGTACAAACTTTGCAAAAATGATATAGCAGAACTGAAGCTCCACATTCTTCTCATGAATGTAAAATGTGTTTATAAAAGGAGGTGCAGATATGGGTTTCTGTACTTTGATTTTGTGCTATAGTCATAATGTATGATATGGCCTTGACTTAGATTTCAATTTTTTGTCTTCAATCTTGCATAGAAACACATCACATCTTTGTGACTTGGGTTAGTAATTACACTGTAGTCAAAACAATATGGAATTAGTACAAGACTACATTAACAGAAAATGGCAGCTAGAATGGCAGCTAATTTTTTTTGCACAATGGACAAACTAGGAGGTCAGTAAATACTAGTAAGCTGTAAAGTAAAGATGTGGGAGTATTCAAATACCCGCTACTCACTTCTACCCGCAGGTAGTGCCAAAATGCCGGCGCTATCCGTGGGTAGACCTGTGGGTAAAAGAAAATAAAAATTAACTTTTTCTTTAAAGTCTGTAAACTTCTAGCATGGTTCAACTGCTTCACTGCTGTTGAACTTAATTTCCCTTTCCAGGTAGCTGTTATGTAGTTGTCCATGAAATTCCCTTTCACACTCTGTAAGGAGAAACCGTCTCAGCAAAAGTCCCCTGTTTATCTCCTAGCAGTTGATCCTGGGCATTTGCTGAGAATTCCTGATTCTTGCAGAAATGACTAAGAGTTATGGTGTGTAGAGATCACTGGGAATTACCACTGCAGACCAGCTGCTGTAGTATGGAGACCAGCCACACTGATTGCTGTGTGAAAGCTAAGTGCTACTTTGCTAGACAGGTCGCTGATGATACTTTTACATGAGGGGATGACTGAAAAGAAGAGTGAGTTTATTCCCTGTCATTAGTTACTGTCACTTGACAAACCAGTAATCATTTATATAGTGCCTTAAGGCTACCTTTACTTCAGTGCAGCAGGATTGGTCTCCAAACTGGCATATGAGTAGAAATGTCCTTGGCATATGCTTAACAATCCAACTGTGATACCCATAGGGCACCATATAAATTTAGTATACCATGCAGTAATATTATAGTATGTATAAGTTATTCAAAGGCTGCTTCCAGCCTGTTAAGAAGGAAACAATGTGGTTCACAGAAGAGATATAACCAGGAGAAGAATAGGTTTCAGTTAAATTCTGTTTGACTCTTTACTTCTTCTGAGCAAGATACATATTCTTTATATACAACAAACAGTTTATATAAAACATGCTAACTTCAGCCATGGTGTAACAAAGTCACATTAGTATAGGGCTGCAGGTAAATCAGTATTCCCCCAGTAGGCATATAAAGAGATGGCTAAGAAAACCAAATTAACAAGCAAACACACAAAAATAATCTAATGGTTCTGTTAAGTGAAGGAGGAGAAGGAAGGCAACAATCACCAATATATAAAATAATTGCATTTAATGCTCACTTCAAACAGTGGAAATAATTTGAGAAACCATAGTAAAAGGAAGTGTCGATTAATATACCATCTAACAACTTCTATTACTATCAGATTTACTTGTTATAACTTCACTTTGAACAGGTTAGTGGATTTTAGACATACTTTTAAAGAGAAATTTAAGAAGATTTATTTTTTTTTCTGACAGAAGGCCAACCTACTAAAATGATGGATTTTTTTTGTGTGATTAAACTTGCTTCAATTTCAAAAATGTGTTCCAGAAAAGGAATAATAGGTTAATACTCAGATTTGTAAGGAAATAGAGAACTCTAAACATACAGAGGAGTTTTATGGACATTTGACAAACATTCAGTGTGTCATAAATAGCTAATTTCAATTTTATAGCCTTGTTATATGTGCAACTTCCAGGGATTTTCATGTGTAGAGGGGTCATATAACTTAACATTCAAATTGTCTAGGATATGCAAACTTGGAGAAGACAAAATTTGAATTTATTTAGTAATAAAGTTGCTGACTGAAGTGTGTGTGTTTCTGCCCAAAGAGACCAAGTCTTTCAACACAAGCTAGTGACCAGCTCAAAATCAATCTCAGAATTAGGAAAAATTTGATGGAATTGTAAAAAGAAATAGGTACCTTCAGAGTAGGAAAGAAATGGAAATTTTGTCAACAATTGGTGGATGTTCCCCAAGATCCAATGATAAGATTTACTCCCTGAAGCTTGCAGAACAAGGCCAGTGGCACAGAAGAACTGGGAATGACTTCTGAAAAAAATAATCTGAGCGATATCTGTTTTGTTATATCTGTTACTAAAGGCTAAATACTGCTTGTGTAAGACAGCATTTGGGATATAATAGACCCCTAACCAGGGTTGTGGACAGACAGTTACCAAGTCTAATTTATTATTTGTATTTGGTCAAAGGTCACAAGTGTGACAGGGATCATGATGGTAATATTTAATCAACAAAATGGGTCCCTCCATCTGTGTGTGCAGGCTGTGGCTAGAAACAGCTTCTTCATGGGCAGCCATCTCTGCCTGTCCCTTCTGTGTGGTGGAAGGTATTTTGCTCATGTTCAAGGGTTGTCTGGCTTGTTGACCCCCCACCGCCTGCCTGTGGCTACCTGTGGGAAGCCCTGAGGGATGCCATCTCCATGCCCTCTCATTTCCTTTCTTCCTTCTTTTCTGTGGTCTCTTAACGCCATCCACCACAGAGTCAAAAAAGAAGATGTCTAGGAGTACATGATCATAAAAGTAATACTGCTGTCATATGGGAAAGGGGGTAGGATTTGCTACTGCAAATGAAATAGGAGAAAGGAAATATGTCATCCTGGTGTGTTTGAGAAGAAAAAGCTTCATAAGCCTGCACCTGAGGAGAAAGTTGCTCAAACTCAAGACAAAATGATTAATAGCTGGAAACTTCACATTGTTTTATGTGAATTTTTCACACAAAGAAATCAACCTTTTTTGGATGGGATTCATACATAAGACTATTCTCCAAAGAGTGGATGCTTTGCCACTACTCCCTTCTCACAACCATGACAAGATCTGCAGCCTTCCTGGAAAGCCAGAGCTTTCCACAGAGAGACACAATTTGAGGTTCATGGGGGTGGCTTTCAAGGTTGGCCACTCTTCTGCCATGATCTTTCCCAGGGAGGCTAAAGACAATCTCAGAATAAAACAACAAAATTCTCATCTGCAGACAAGCATGGGATGCTTTGCCTTACTCTTGCCACAGATAACATGCACTTACTTCTGCTTGGATTCTGGATACAAAAAGTGAATTTTGAATTGCAGGACTTGGATGCACTTCTTGGATATTAGTACATGCTTTTACCAGACCCTGATTTTATATTGTGGCAAAATTTAGACATACATCAACCCTCCTGCCATGCACCGTATTTTCCATCAAAATGAAGCAAGTGTTTGTGGGCTCTAAGGTGCCACAGTGTACTCTGTGATAGATGTCTGACCTGGACACAGTGATGGGACCAGGATCAACAGGAAATGTCAAGGACTACATCTGGTCTGTATACTACTACAAAATCTGCAAAAGAAAAGTTTCACTGATCTGGCTCTATTTCCCATTGCGTGCAAGCAATAAGTGAACTGTTAGTCATTATATATGGCTCAGAGTTCATATACAATGCTCTGATTCTTCATATTAGTATCAGAGCAGGATTTGTGATCTTCAGATGGCATGTGACTCATGAGAAGCAGTTCTGAGAACACAGGGGCTGAGGGTTTAAACATAAGTTAAAGTCTATCAAACATAATGTACCCATATAACTACTAGTCAAAATCTGATATGTGGAAATCCATAGCCCACTGCAAATTTATCTTGGTGAAAATCTATAATTAAAACATAAATATAATTCAAATGACAAGTAATGTCACACAACTTAGTACAGAGCCTAAGACTAGCTATCCAAGTTAAACAGAATTGCATTATGAAGTTTGAAAATGCTACCTCTATTTCTAAGAAAACTGTATTTTTCTTATTGTTTGTGTGATTCTTCTTGTGAGTGGATTCAGTTCTGATTATGAGAGACAGTGTTCACAAATCTGACAGTTTGATCTGTGTATGAACAGGAGCACCTTTCAGAATCAAACCCTTTCCTGCAGACACCTCTGTATGAATCTGAATCTATATCTACCCAAATTTCATACTTTGCTTTACATTCAAGACATTTTTTCATATCTAAAGAAACAGACTGACTGAATGGAAGTTACAATGGTGTTAATGGGCTAAGACTAGACAAAGTGATTTAATGGAGTAGCTTTCTGCTTTTGCAATGCACCAGAATAGCTGGATCTGTCCCATGAACATATGCTGTAATTAAATATTTCCACTGTATGATATCATCAGATTAAATGATAGTTCTTCATTATGCCTCACTGAAATTAGCTACTTTATTAATGAATTTCATATTCATTCAATATCCAGATCTTACATTATAGCAATGACTATTACCATTTTTCTCATATGCTCAAAAGAAAGGGGATTCCCTTTAATTACATTAATACTTGCAAACAAATAGATAAACCTCCACATGCCACACCTATATGAACGTGTTACTCTCTAATTTTATCCTCACCTTACTTCAGAGGGAAACAGCAGAGAAAGGAAGACATTGTATACATATATGTAGTAAAATATTGATAAAGGCTAACCAAAATGTGATGATCTTTTATCTGTTTAACTCATAATGCAATCACAGAGTTCTGATGCTACGGGTGAGAAAAAGTATAGGCAACTAAAAATGTTTAGTGCAAAAAAAGATTAAGAGAAATAAAAGCTGAAATGCAGAATTTTGATTATAGTGCTCAAATAACCTTTAAAAAATTAACTCTACCAGTAAAGCACTCATGAAAATCTAGGCACTTTCAGGTGTACAAGGTTTGTCACCATTAATATTTAAGTGGGAAAGAGAAGCACGGCACTAAAAAAAAAAAATAAAATCAGTCCTTATTTTAGCAATTAAAAATTATAACCAAATACAATCTTCTTCCATTTAGAATATATAATGGGAGGTCCAGGAACTACCACTC